GCGTTACACACTGGGCCGGCTTTCGTGCCCTGTGGCCGACCTGTTGTCGCCACGCCTAGGTCGCTCGGGGCACAGCGCATGCATGCCCACTACCGGGCTTGCTTGCTTGCCTTGCCGCCGAGCCAGTGGCCGCTTCGGACCCAAGAATCCTTTTTCTTTTTCGGTGTTTTGTTAATTTTAATAATCGGCTGAATGCTTGGAAATTCATAGTAAATCATAGAAAAATCATAAAAATGTCAAACTAAGTTTGTTAAGTTTCTAAAATTATAATCTATCTAATAGTGTATTTTGTTCACATAGGTTTGGTATGTTTTTAGGGGTGCTCTAATTATTTTAAAATGTTTAATATTGTTAGAATGTGAACTTGTGAGAATTTTTGTGCGGAAATGGTGATAGTGTTGACCCTGAAAATTTTACAGTAAATTCCTAATATTATTATCTGCTCACTGTAATTTTTGTAGCTCCAAAATAATTTGTTTGCTAGATAGATAATGATGCCCTATTTCGAATAAAGATTAAATCGATAGAATGGAGTAACGAAACAACTGAGTTTGTATAACTAAAACACTTGTTGGGAGATGACACCTTTCTCGATGATGTTGATACATAGATTAATACGTTAGTCATCAGAGCTAGCTTGTTAGTTCATAGTATGTACTCTGTTTTAAGAGTTGTTGTTGCCTATTAATTATATGTTTTATCATTTGCATCAATGCATATCATATAGGTACGATGATGGATCAACGGATCAATTAAAGAATGATTGGGAATCTAAAGATGATGTAATGGTATTCTCTCCAGGAGATGATGTAATGGGCTTTCTATTCAATTGATGGTGGATGATCTGAAGATGCAGATACTAACTTTTTAGTATATATCTTACCCAGGCAAGCCCCGATGCATAACCCCTACTTTTCTGCACTTTAAATTATATTTGTGCATTAAGTTTTAAGGAGTTAAATGAAACCAACTTGCATATATATATATATATATATATATATATATATATATATATATATATATATATATATATATATATATATATATATATATATGAGTCTTACTAGTATGACAGGATCGTGTAGATTGCTATGCTACAGGACTCTGGTAGAAGTCGAGTGATTGTCTATCACTCGCGAGAGATAGAAAAAATATTATTGTTGTTACTATATTATTATCACTTGCATATATATATATATATATATATATCCTATGAGTCTTACTAGTATGACAGGATCGTGTAGATTGCTATGCTACAGGACTCTGGTAGAAGTCGAGTGATTGTCTATCACTCGCGAGAGATAGAAAAAATATTATTGTTGTTACTATATTATTATCACTTGAAATATATATATATGAATGGTAAATAGAGACCGGACGGGGATATGGTTTGGATATTGGTGGGTGTAAGAGGTTGTGTCCTGTGGCCAACGGACATAGCTTGGTTACACTATTTTCACTGTCTGTGTCGGTTAAGGACCGGTCGTTGTGTTGGGTTCTAAGCAGGTCACAGACTTATTATCCTGAACACATACTTGTGTATAGGCACGAGAAGACTTGTTACTCTCTTGTTATGGGTTTTGGCTCTTTTCGAACCAACTTTCAGGGTGGTTTTTGGGTAGAGGTCCAAGCACCGCTCTAAGTCCGAGACTCAGGAGGGGGGGCTTGAAATCTAAGTTTGGACGGAGAACTGGACCCCGTGACAAGAGGGTAGTGGGTTGGTCCTGCTTGTGCCTGGGGTACAAGCGAGGCATGTGTTTCGGGATACCCAGCTGGGCACATTAATTCACGAATCACCGACGTTCCGGTACGACTTGTCTATAATCTAGCACCGTAGTAAGAATTAGAAGATGAAAGATGATAAAATGATTCTAATTGTTTACCACCTGCTTGAAAGTAGCATATGTGCTTACATAGAATGGTTGGTTAATGAACTAATATTGATTGCTAATAAAATTGAATATAAGGACACACGTTTAGTAATGCTCCTGCAGATGCAATAAACCCACAAGCCAGATAGCCTTGCATATCCTTGAGGTCTTTTCTTTCCTTCTGTCGAATAAGTCTTGCTGAGTACAATTGAGTACTCAGGGTTTTATTTCTCCCTGATTGCAGGTGACAGGGGATGCTAGAGCTGACTCTTGTGTGTGGATCCCTCCTGGTGGGCTCAGAGAGGATTCCTTTACGCTGCGATCATAGTCTTTATTTATAACTCTCACTAAATATTTTTATAAATGGAAGTTTTTTAATCTATTGTCATAGTTTATATATCAATGCTTCATCATGTCAGGAATAGATATTTATTTCCGTTGAAACTCTAATCACATGTTTATATTTCGCTGTTAAATTAAATTGTTCATAACTCTGATAACATGATTACATTCCGCTGTTATAACAATAAATATTATACTCTGATGTTGCATGAAAAGTGATGTAAGAAATGGCTAAAATGTGATAAGCTTTATTCTCTCATTTGTGATCCTGATGGAAAAATATGGATTTTCGGATTCTCCCCTGTGGTGTGCTTGATGGAACCGCGTAAATTGGTATCCTTTCTTGAGTACTTAGGGTCTAATAAAAGACGAGTACTTCTAGGAGACATTAGATTAGGCGGTTCTGCCACACGGGCAAGGCGACGGGCGTGGAGCAGGCAGCACTGGCGCGCGAGCGGGGCCGGCTGCGGGCCAGCTGGGGCAGGCGGGTGGCTATGTGTGTGTGCGCATGCGGCCTGCCTGGGTGGGCTGGAATATGAGGGGGGTTTACCGAGTGCCCATAATCTGACACTCGGCAAACCCCAGCTTTGTCGAGTGCCAGATCAGTGGCACTCGGCAAACCCATTTTTTATTTTTCACACTGTGCGTGCGTGCGCCCAGTGGAGGGGGGTTGTCGAGTGTCCCAGACCTGACACTCGGCAAATCCTTGTTTGCCGAGTGCCAGATTAGGGGCACTCGGCAAACACATTTTTTTTTCTTCTTTTTTTTTTTCCATATCGTATTTTTCTAAATTTGTTCTGCTGAACTTTGAAAATACCTTGTCAAATTCACTCAACAATATATATTTGATTTTTTTACGAATATTATTCCATTATTTCATACAGTTATAGCTCAAATTCAATGTGTATCAATTAAAATTGTATTATTACATTTAATAAATTAAAATTACCAAACAGGTCCAAAAAATTACCAAAATTACACATGAATCAATCTATGTTTTCTATTGCCAATACAAAAAATTTTGAAGTTGAACCCCAATTCAAGCGTCACTTTGACTCCAAATCTTACCAAATCTTTCTCAACGCTATGATTCTTCTTCTCAGATATTTCGGTTTGTAAACATCGTACATGATAGATTGTGCGAATCCTTCTCAATTTTTACCACGACCTCCATGTATGATATCATGAGATCTTGACAAATTTCATGATTTTCATACTTTGTTAGCTTTTTTTTAGAATTTAAAAACCATTCGGCCACACGTTCGTGGTTGTGTTTGCTGAACAAGATGTTCGAAATTTCTTTTCATTTCCTAGGTAAGGCCTCACACCGGACTCAATAACATGAATATCATTTTCTACTTATTTTATTCTATTATTTGAATCACTTGCGGTTCAAATTTGATTTATACCAAAAAATTCCTTGAAATGCAATAAAATAATTAAATATAGCAAACGGATCCAGAAATATACCAAATCTTAACATGGAGTAACACATGTTGTATGTAGAGAGTAGAAAAAGTTTTAAGACCAGAAGAGAAAAAACTTATTATTTCATGCAGTTGTAACTCAAATTCAATGTGTATCAATTAAAATTCTATAATTGCACTTTATAAATTAAAATTATCAAACGGATCTAAAAAAAATTACCAAAACTACACATGAATCAATCTATGTTCTCCATTGCCTATACAAAATTTTTAAAGTCAAACCTCAATTCAACAGTCACTTTGACTCCAAATCTAACCGAATCCTTCTCAACGCTATGATTCTTCTAGTGAGATACTTCGGTTTGTAAACATCGTACATGACAGATTATGTGAAACTTTCTTAAATTTTTACCACAACCTCCATGTATGATATCATGAGATCTTGACAAATCTCATGATTTTTAGACTTCATTTTTTTTAGAATTTAAAAATCATTCGACCCCACGTTCGTCGTCATGTTTTCTGAACAAGATGTTCGAAATTTATTTTTATTTCCCGGATAAGGCCTCATAATGGACTCAATAACATGAATATCAATTTTCTACTCATTTTATTATATTACTTGAATTATTTGCGGTTCAAATTTGACTTATACCAAAAAATGCCTTGAAATGCAATAAAATAATTAAATATAGCAAACAGATCCAAAAATATATCAAATTTTAACATGGAGTACCACATGTGGTATGTCGAGAGTAGAAAAAGTTTCAAGGCCATTAGAGAAAAAATATATTTATTTGCCGAGTGCAAAAAAAAACACGGCGAACTTATTTCTTCGTCGAGTGTTGGAAGAAAACACTCGGCAAACTTATTTCTTTGCCGAGTGCCATTAACGGACACTCGGCAAACTCCTAACGGCCGACACACTAACGGACGGATGTCTATATGGCGGTTTTTTGCCGAGTGTCTCTGTTTTGTCGAGTGTTTTTCTTAGTTTGCCGAGTGTTTTTTTTCAGCACTCGGCAAAGAGTTTGTTTGTCGAGTGCCATTATTTTGCCGAGCGTTTTTTTAGCGCTCGATAAAAAACTTATTTACCAAGTGTCCGATAAAATATACTCGGCAAACATGATCAACTGTTTCTGGTGGTGCGATTCGACTTTCCCCTCCACTGGAGCTGCTCTTAGTCGTCGTGATGCGCGGCAGGAAGACTACACGCCCTCTTCTGCCTCTGCCTTCGCCTCTATATAAGACGACGGCGATGGCGAGCAGCTCTTGCCGTTCGGTCTCCCCTTCCGCTGCACAGCAGTCCAAAGTCACGAGCTTACTTTTTCTTTTTCATTCAGTGGCGGCTAGCCACGCCATGGCGACGAGCGTGCTAGTGGGATTGCTCGGCGAGTCTCCTTCCCCGTGGAAGGCGCAGCAACTGCTGCTGCCGCTGTGCGCGGCGGCCCTCGCCGTCGTCGTGTGGTGCGCCGCGCGCGCGGCGGAGTGGGCGTGGCTGAGGCCGCGGCGCCTGGAACGGGCGCTGCGGGCGCAGGGCATCCGTGGCACGGCGTACCGCCCGCTGGCCGGCGACGCGCCGCTGTCCGACCGGCTCGCCCGCGAGGCCAGGTCCCGGCCGCCCCTGCCGCCGGGCTGCCACGCCGTCGTGCCCAGGGCCATGCCGCTCGTCCACCACGCCATGAACGAGCACGGTAACTTCTCTCTCGATCTTGTCGCGTTGAGTCGTCGTTGACTGTAACTGTCGATCTACCTTTACTGGTATGCTTGCCGGTCTTACCACGGCAACGAACCAACGGTCTGTTTCACTCTGATGTCTCGATCATGATCATGACTGATCCACTGTGGATTGATCACGCGTGGCCTGGGCACTGCTGCGCAGGCAAGACCTCGGTGACCTGGTTTGGGCCGACGCCGAGGGTGATCGTCACGGAGCCGGAGCTGGTGCGCCAGGTGCTGTCCAACAAGTTCGGCCACTTCGAGAAGGCCGGCTTCGGGCAGCTCACGCGGCTGCTGCACTACGGCGTGAGCACCCACCAGGGTAGCAAGTGGGCCAAGCACCGGAGGATCATCAACCCCGCCTTCCATCTCGACAAGCTCAAGGTCTCATTCGATTTTCATGCATGCATCACGTCATCAGTTGTATTGTGTATGTCATCAGTAGGTTGCTAGCTAGTTGATGGATCCGATCCGAGCTTTTCGATCGATTCTCTTGCAGCGCATGCTGCCAGCCTTCACATCGTGCTGCGCCGACATGGTGAGCAGATGGGAGGGTTTGTTGGCCGCGGCCGACGGCGAGCCATGCGAGGTGGACGTCTGGCCGGAGATGCAGAGGCTGACCGGAGACGTCATCTCGCGCGTCGCCTTCGGCAGCAGCTACCTGGAAGGCAGGAGGATCTTCGAGCTCCAGGAGGAGCAGGTGCACCTCGCCATGCTCGTCGCCAACAAGATACACATCCCTGGTTACATGTCAGCTCTCACTCTCTGATCAAACCCCATTTTGATTAATTTGCTTGTTAATTGCCACGGGGAATTGATGTACTACAAAATTGCAATTTTCGTGCGTGCAGGATGCTGCCTACAAGGGTGAACCGGCGGATGAAGCGGATCGCGGCGGAGATCGAAGGGGTCCTGAGAGGGATGATCGCGACGAGGGAGAGCTCGCTGAGAGCAGGAAAGGCGACGAGCGACGATCTTCTCGGCCTGCTGCTGGAGTCCAACATGGAGCAGCTCAGGGGCGAAGGCGAAGGCAAAGGCGGGAGGAGCTCCGGCGACGGCAGCATGTCGACCGACGACGTCATTGGAGAGTGCAAGCTGTTCTACTTCGCCGGCATGGAGACCACGTCGGTGCTGCTCACGTGGACCATGGTGGTGCTCTCCATGCACCAGGAGTGGCAGGACCGTGCCAGGGAGGAGGTGCTCCGCGTCTTCGGCGGCGCCTGCACAGTGCCGGACTACGACGGCCTCAGCCGGCTCAAAATTGTAACACCTTCATTTTGCATACCAGGCTCTGAATCTTGATTGATTGATTCGTTCAGTGTCTTGTGAAATGTGATCGTAATCGTAATCGAAATTGCATTTGCAGGTGACCATGGTGTTGTACGAGGTGCTGCGGCTCTACACGCCGCTGCCGGCGTTGCACCGGCGGACGTACAAGCCCATGGAGCTCGGGGGCGTCAGGTACCCGGCGGGCGTGATGCTGATGCTGCCGCTGCTGAGCATCCACCACGACAAGGACGCGTGGGGGCCGGACGCCGACGAGTTCAGGCCGGAGAGGTTCGCGGAGGGAATCGCCAGGGCGTCGTCGGGCGGGGATGCGCCGCCGGCGTTCTTCCCGTTCGGCTGGGGACCTCGGACCTGCATCGGCCAGACCTTCGCGCTGTTGGAGGCCAAGATAGGGCTCGCCATGATCCTGGGGAAGTTCGCGTTCGAGCTCTCCCCGTCCTACTCGCACGCGCCGTTCCCCGTCGTCTTGCTCCAGCCAGAGCACGGCGCGCAGGTCATGCTCAGGAAGCTCCGATGAAGCTGCCTGTTGATCAAGCTCAAGGTTCAGGTGCTGGAGTGGCTGGCAATGCCTCTATGTGCACAGCTTGCACGATCATAAATTTTGCTGTAAACAGTGACAACGGTATATTTCGCTGATCGCCGGTGAACGGGATCAAATTTGAGAATGCTTCTTCTTGAACTTCTAGATAAGATTTATAGAAGATGCGCTGCTTCCAAAAATTTATGTAACAATTTCTTAGGACCCCTCCCTGCGGGTCCACCGGTCCATGGTACTCATCAGGCCCAAATCAAAGTATAATGTAATTGGTGAACTAGGCTTACATCAGCTTGTCTACGCACAAAACTGATGAGGCCATCAAAACTTTCAACTCATAGTCTCAAGTCTAGTGGCATCATAATTCATACATACTGCAATTTATAAAAGTACAAAAAAAGCTGCACCAAGTAATGTGAAATCTGAATCCAAGCTTTAGTGGATTCTAGCTGCCATTCCCAAATAAATTCTCAAACAACTTCGGAGCCATTGGAGGAAGAACCATGGGCTCTGGGGCCATGAAATTAGTAATCTTCTCATGGACATGATACCTGAAAAAATCAGGTAACAGAAATGAGCACAATTACCAAAAGGAAAATTATTGGAAAAATTTCAAACATCAGCAAACAGCAGAGGATAGAGATCGCACCGTATCTTTCTGCTCTTTGAAGCACGACGATCAACAAGCTTTCTCTTTTTAACCTGCTGCTTTTTTAGGGCATAAAATGCCGACTCTGCATACAATAAATGGTATTTGATGGACGCTCAAGGTGAAAGTAGAAACGTATACATTTCTTACAAATCTTAGAATGGTAACAGTTTATGAATATACAAATGAAATTTGAATATTCCTCAAACATGTATCTTCTGTTAGATGAACCAGGTTTCAGTATGCATGTTGAGATATATACATAAAGAAGATGCAGATAAATTTAAATGCATTTTTCAAAAGATAACAAATTTGAATGTGTCCACATGGAAAATATGAGCTAAATTCAAATTGCAACAGGTTTTTAGGGTGATATGAATCACTAAGGTTAGCTGAGATATATGTTTACAGGAGGTAAATATCTGATAATTTATTGCCTATTGCTGGGGAAGGCCTATGTGTGTAAATAAAAAATAATAAGTGTAATAGCTGAAAATGAACTAACCTGATGCCCCTCTATCACATGACTCAAGAAACTCCTTGAGAAGTTGTTGATAAAACTCAGAATCGTCAATAAGTTCAGGATCATCTTCCATAATGTGCCCCTAAGTTACAGCAAAGGCGATGAAATAAGCCCAGGAAGTGTAATCCGCAATATATCCTCTAATTGTATAAATAAAAGCATTCTGATATCAATGTTAATGTGGCAGATAAATAACCAAGGTTATGATAAAAAAAGGAAATTCATCACAGTGGAAGAAATGAGCACTCTTCAATTAACTACAGGCTGTTACACTTCAATAGACTGAAGGAGACCAAATAAGGTTTGAAATATTTTCAAGAGAACAATGTAGTAAATGCTCAAACCTCCTCAGCTGTTCCAGGTTGTCCCACATCCTGAAATATGAACTTACTTTAGTTAGCCAGGTGCACAAATATGACTGGTGGTCCTTTATGATAGATGTAAAATACCTTTCCAAATACACTAACAGCAGAGTTGGTCAAGTACATCCTGTTAATCATCCGGCTTGGATCTCTCATGTAACCAGCAACTTGGTCACTAATGTTCTGTTCTCATACAAGGGGAAGAGTTGAGCTTTAGACATTGACTTGTTAAACAGTAACAAATTACACAAAGTAGCTAGATAAGTATTCAGGCAACCTGATTAAATGCATGTAGCTTTCCTTTAAGTGCAGCAGCACCTGTTGTCACCTGTATTTTCCTCTGCCATTTATCTATCTCAGTATTTCTGAATGTTGTTATCCTGTACACAAATAATTTACCACACTCAGAGTTCATTTTGTATGAGCACATAAAACCAAGTACCAACACCAAGCAGCATATGAGCAAATGCAAGATGAAAGCTCTAGAGCATCCATATAACTCTCAGAATCTTCATATTATGGCAATGTAACCTTTAGATCTAATTTTAGTTTTTTCTTCACGCGTGCTACATCATATATTTGCAAATCATTGAATCCAATGTTGCAGAACCAGCTTTCTAGAAGGAGGTTAGCACAATGCAACCTTCATACTTTTTAGAGACTATATGAAATAAGTCAAGACACTTAATAATTCCAAGCACCTTAATAAAAGATGTCACATTACTCTATTAGCATTTCTTATGTGAATAACTAGCCTTCTTCCCATCTATTTCAAACATAAGGAGTTAAGTGAGAATTAAAAAAAAAAGATTCCATCAACTATTATCCTTTACACTTAAGTTACTTTGTATTCTAGTTTTCAAGCAAGGTCTTTGTTACATGCCTTTCCTGCTACCACTACCAGGCTTGGCAAAGAAAGGCATACCAACAAGTATACCTTGGATGCAACCTACTGACCCAGTTGTATAACTTATTGGGCAGAGAGCAGCAATTAGCTTGTTGCACAGCCAATACCTTGATATGAAACTGGATTTGTGGCAACTGGCACTGCAATTTGATGGCTGAGACTCATATAACGACCTACAGGCTACAGGCAGGATGGTAACACAACCTATCGCCAAATCATAGATGTATTTAACAAAATGAATATACAAGATTCATTTTTTTTCTTTTTTGCATGGGTGTTTTTAGAACTTAGCTGCCACTTTTACTACATTGTGGCTACCTCAGAGTGGTTTCTGTATAAAAAATAAAAACAGACTTTATTAGGAAGCTCGAGCAGACTTCAGTTACACATAAAAGAATGCAATTGCCAAGACGTGATAAGCATTTCAAGTACTCACATTCAAGTGATTATCACAAGTAGACAAGTAGTTACTTGAAACCATAGGGGTGTAAGCAGCTGTAAATAAACAAATGCTTAGTGTACTGCAGTGTTTTTCAAGCGCTAGCCAACTTCTCCTAAGTTATACTGATTAGACAGTTGAAGTCCGAGGGTCGCCACAACCTTCTTAAGAACAAAATCAGGGGATGTTCCTCCCCTTGGTTGAGTTTTTTTTTAAAGCACTGATGGTTGGTTAGTTATTTCTAATCCAAAATTTACCTTGTCTGCAATCTCTGTACTTCTGACCACTCGTCATTGTCTCCATTTGAGGCAGAAGGAATTTCTGGCATCAAGTGAAGAGTTGTGTTATGAATATATAGATGGCATGTCATAGTTTTTACAGTAGAACAAGAACAGTATGAAGAGTAGCAATACCATTGGCACCCTTTGTAGCCTGATTACTCTCGAGCAAAGCCTATAGGTAGTTTTAGTGGTTGAGTACAACGAGCATGACAATGAGAAACATTTCAACCATTATTTGCAAAAGATACATTTCGATCATATTGAGGAAAATCATAGGCGTGAAAGGAAAACAATATGTGCAACTAACTGGACCTCCTGCAGCTCCATCATGCTGCTCAATGTCTTCTTCGACGAATTCAACAGATCATCAAAGGCTTGCTCTATCTGCTTATCATGATTGCAAAACCTTGTTCTGATGGGTTCCTGCGACAGTATAATAGAGAACAAACTGGAGTTTAGAATTCAACTTAGCCACAATCCTGCATCAAAAGGGGAACAATTAAGAATAACCTAGGGATATGTTTGCTGCTACAACCTGGGGCAACTTGTTGGAAGTGGAAAATGACTTCTGCAGCAAGAATCTCACTTCCAGGGTCTTGTCCCATATCGCCTTGAGGGAACATAAATCAAACAAAGGTAAGAATTTTGATAGGATTAGATATATGTAGCACATGATAATACCAAGATGCAAAGGTGGGTTAGCACCTTCTGATTTTTGACTGCTTGACCTCTCAAGGCATCCTCCTCTCTGTGCTGGTTCATCATCTTCGAACTATCTCTATACAGGGGATTCACTTGAAAAATCCCCAAATTTGGGCTGCCCTTGGCTAGTTTGATCTCCACACTACAACGAACTGAATGGAAAGAAACAAAGCTTGCCTGTTGCAAAAACAAAACAAAACAGTAAAATCACTTGAGACTTCAGAGTTAAAACAAAACCAGTATTCACCTATGTAGCACGTATACAGATATAAGTACTGTTATCAGAAAGATGAAGATATGTGGATACATTGTTTTCTCAAAAAAAGAAAGCCATGACAGAAATACATTTTAATCTTTTTAAAAAAAATAATGAGGCATAGTAAAATTCTAAAAGCAGTAGCACTACCAACGTAGCAGGAACATTAAAATTGTCGTGCATTCTTGAAACTGTGCTGCTTTGCTCTTCTTTTCCAGATTTCCAATAAGCCAAACACTAGACAGCCAAGGTCAGGGTCACCTGCTGTGGTGCTGCTGGCTCCCCCCTCCACAATCAGACCAAGTGACCAGACGATTTGACTATGGGAGAGGGGACTACGAGAGAAGGAATAGGGAAGAAACTCGCCACTGACTTGCAGCTGACTCACCGTCGATTTACTGTGGGCAGGCGGCGGTGGACCCAGAAATGAAGGAAGGGACGTTCAATTAAATAATTAAAGGCTCTACAGTCAAACTAATATACTACATCCCTCTCTGAATAAATCAATTCCTAGAGTTGTCTTAAGTTAAACCTTTTTTTACGTTTCACCGAATTTATACTAAAAGAGCACAAATGTTTATGGCACCAAATGAGCACATTATAAAAATATATTAATGATACTATTTTGGTTTCATAAATCTTAGTCCTCTTTTCTATAAACCCAGTCAATTTTGTTTTTAAATGACTTAAGACAACTCTAGCAATTGATTTTCGAGGGCTATTAATGAGAAGCACAATTAATGACATCGATTGAAAATGTTAGCAACATGTAGAACAACATTTGTGACCAAATAAAGAAGCCAAGAGATCATATATATACCCTACGGTATGAAATATTACAATGCAAATTTGAGAAAATAACAATTGGCACTCATCAATTAAAATAGGATGTGTCGATGCAACGATAGTAATCACCGATCAGTAAAAAATACTCACTGTTTGGCTCACTGTGCAGCAGCAGGGGGCAACCGGGCAAGGGCAGAAGGGCTAGGCCGCAGCCTGTAGGGGACACTGCGGCCGCTTGGGGGCAGGGCGCCTGCTGGCCAGTGGACGCTGGCGAGCACGGGGGGCTAGGTGGCTAGCCGTGGAGGCGAGGTCTGCCGGACGGGTTCGAGGGGTAGGGGCGCCGCCACGGAAGACGGAGGCGCAGCGCAGGCGCCGTCGTCGCTACTCGCTCGGGAGTCGGGAGTCCAGAAGGGAGCACGCTGCGAATGAGCGTCTGTGCCGAAGGCGATGCGGATGGGGAAGTTTTGCGGGAGGCGGCGGGCCAGCGGCGGCGCGTGTGCGTCTTCGCTCGCGCGAGTGGGAACAGAGGAGGAGCGTGACGCGCGGATGGGAATCGACTCGTGTAATGGCTGAGTAGTCTGGAAGCAGTTAGGGTTAAAAGTTGGGCCTTATTTTTTTTTTTTTTTTGCCTGTTAGTCTATTACCAGGCCAAATACCGGGCCGAGGGTATTTACCGGGCCGGGCCGGGCCATCTGCCATGCCTAGGGAGCGGCCCAGGCACGGCCCTAGCATCGGGCTGGGCCAGCCTAAGCCCGCTAGTCAGCGGTTCGTGTCGTGCCCGTGCCGGGCTAAAATACCATGCTTCGCCCCGTGCCAATGAGCCGCGGGCTACATGGCCATCTATAGCTGCGATGCGTGCCTCTGTTAGGGTGGAACGGGCGGGTCGAGCTGGCTGAAGGAGGAGACCTCTCTCGTATGGGTCGTAGCTGGGCTAAACTGAAGAGGGTAATTGACTTTTCTTGGGCTCGCCCCGGGCTGTTTCGCTCTCATGATAGGACGTGTGTGTGGCGAGGGTGGCGTGCGTCGCCGGCTGCTACTGCCTATCAGAGCTCATTATCGGTGCGAAGGCGGGCGAGCGGCTGCTACACATGACGTGGCCGCAGGGAAGAGTCGGAGACCCATAAACCAATCCGGCTAGCTCGAGCCTCGAGGTGAGTTACAGCTGGGGCTCACCTTGGCGAGGAGGGCGAGCGGTCGTCGGGCCGCTTGTCGGACTCTCCTGTGCCGGTTAGGGTGGCCTCCACCGCTGCCCTCATGGTGAGGCAACCCATCGATGGCAACGACTGTGAGTTCGCCGAAGGTGGTTTAGTGGTGGCGGCAGCGGTGTTTGCAGAATTGAAGAGGTAAAGAGCGCGAGCGCCGCAAGCTTAACAAACCTTCTCTCTCCGTCCACCGAGCGAGCCGACGGGCCTAATGCTTTTGGGTAATAATAATATAGAAGGCTTTGGGCCTTGGGCCGAAAGACCGCGCACAACAGATTCTGTGGATGGCTGAGCTCGATACAGTCACTTCGTGAGGCTCAACTTATTTTCTGACATACAGCCCAAGCCCCTCTTCTCGCGTTGCCCTAGCGCCGCCGTCGCCGTTGCCCCCGCCTTCCACCACTGCTGGCCCCCCTCCCTTCCCCTCCAGCATCTCGCCGAAGGTCGGAGGGAGTGGGGATCTATCATTTTGAATAAGTTTTTCTAGTAAAAATTCAAGTTCTTAGGGTTATGGTCTCTCCATGCCAAGTTTCTTGCTATTAGAGATTTATCTCCTCTCCGATGACGGCGAGGGAGCAGGATGGAATTGTTTTCTCCATGACGGCTATGTTGAAGATGAGGACGGACAACTACGGCATCAACACTTCATCAACTTGATGACACGAAGACTTTTCTTTCCGGACGACAACATCAAGGCAGAGACGATGTCACCGCTATGGAATAATTTCCTCCGGTCTCTTTCTTCATTTTGTTGTGTTTAGATCTGGTCACGACAAAGGACTAGGGAGAAAAAGTTTTAGACCAGTCTTCCTTATTCTTCGGTGGCAGAAAGAAGAAAGAAAACACAAGAAAGAAGAAAAATCTCAACTCCGTCTGTAGAAATGTTGGCCGCGTCATTCGTTAGCATCTGTTCTAAGGTCTTTTGTCGAGTGTTTACCTGTGCGGTCATCCATACGAAACGTCACCATGTTTGGTTTTAAGATTTGGAGCTATTCACATCGTGGGTATAATTTAAAAGAAAATATTCTAGAGTGCTGGTATCGATCGTATTAATGTACACAGCTATTATCTAATATAATTCTTCTTTCATCAAAAAAAAAAAACTTTTCGGGCATCAGTTTTGCAGTTCGATCCACTTCTGTGCACATCTCCCTCAGTCAAACTTGCAATTCGCAACTGAGCTGATGACTAACACCAAAGGGCAGGCAGTTGTGTTTAAAACATCGATAGGATCGCATGACACATGAAAATGACTCATTTTTCGCATTAGAGTTTATATACAGACAAAAGGTTGCAAAAGCATCATCGTTTGAACACTCGTCTGCTACAAAGCAATGATGCGTTCCAACAGGGACGGTCAAGTCAAGGTCACCAATGGCGCACTTGCTACAAAGAATGCACTGCTCCGTTCATATTGTGTACAATTCTACCTCTTTCTTTTCATTCTTATTTAGGTGTGGTTGGCATGCCATGAACAGGCTACACCCCACTCAAACCCTCGAGATCGATAAATACAATCATAGAGGACATGGGACCCTGCCAAATGGGAACAATAAAAACAATGACAACACCAGAAATACAGACATTCGGTGGACTTTTCTTTACTTCCACAGCTTCATCTGTTGTTTTCAAGTATAATATGTACAGATTTCCTGAAACGAGGCAACAACAGATACGTCAACCATATGCCATATACTCCCACCTATAAGATAAGATGTACGTATAGCAGAACCATTGCCTGGCCAGCCAGTCTGCCAGCAAATTGACGCACAAAGTGAGAGGATGCACAGCATACCTTGCAATCCCGAATAATGCTGGATCTTGGAGATGTACCAGACTTCAGGTCAATACTCCACCACACCCAGCAATGCATGATGGAGAAATATCTAGTTTTTTTTTCTACAAGGGAAATGCAGGCTCTTCAACTTTCTTTATCATCACTAGAGCCTCCTTTCAATGACTGCGCTTCAAAGATCAAGGTAGAAACACTCAGAAACCAACCTTAAGGCGGACAGCGCATATGTTTAGAAGAAAGAACTAAACGAATGAAAAGCTACTAAATGTGTATATATATTAAAAAAGAATTACCTTGTACAAGTACTTCTTCCTCAGCTTGATGGCCAAACGTACGCATCTTTTTACATTTATTTTGAGCACATTATCATTGAACATCTACAGAAAACCCATGAAAATAAATAACTATAACTAACCATTACATAGAGGCAATAGTTTAAATAGAATGGAATAAATTAGCAGTTGGAACTTGCCTTGATTGCATCATCTATTGAGCGAGTCCCTCTTATTATCTTGTGGCGATTGATTATCAAGATTGCCGCCACACAGAATATAGGCAGTTCGTAATCTCCACTGTTTGCTAGCACATTTGCACTTGGATGTGGCATCTGCTGAGGCCTTGCCCATATTGTAGCACCTGACAAGCCACAGAGATTATTTCTTGTACTGGATTTCATTCCAGGGTGGCAAGCTCCACAGATTTCACCATTTCTACGATGGGATTTCCTGGTCTTGGGTTTTCTTCTTGTGGAACTGTTGGTCCGATGCACTTCTTTGACTTCACATGATAAGCCATTGCTCAGATCCACTAGCAATGGTTCTAGACAGTTCTCTTCTAAACGCCTGACTGCTTCTTCATCAAAATCAGCAGCCCACATCATCTGAAGACAAGAACACCAGTTGTCTAACATAACAAGATTCTGATTCAATAATATAAGCATTGAAATAAAATAACCATTTTAAAAGGCCATTTCATTGTGGCTATGTGTGGTACCAAATATTACATACAATATCTTCATGTTATGTAGTTCAAGTAAATTACTGTAGCTATATTGCTACAAAGCTAACTATCTTCTTTGTGAACTATTTAGGCCTCTTGAAGATTTTAAGTACAAAACTACAATTAAAGATTCACCATATTTCACCTATGTCTGTTTCAAAGAATACTCATGTCAACTTCATGCAACAACTAGTTGACCACAAAATGTCCAAAATAAGACAGATATCTTGAAGATCCAGACCTCCCACATCAAAAGTGATTCCTCAAAAGACAGCTCTCGACGAAAAAGCACTAGCAGCATCCGAAAAGCAAAATGAAGGCTTTCAGCACCAATTGCTGACAAATGTTCAAATAATTCAACATCTGTCAGTTCCATGATCTTCCACAATGCTTGCAATTGCTTCATAACTCCTGTTGGTCCCTCCATCTGGAAATTTTCACGCTGAGCAGCAGAGAGTTACATTATCCACCATGATTACTAATGTAAAGACCAAATAAATGGACATTATACTGTAATTCATGTCAGATGAAAGTTACCATCCTTCTCAGTAGCATCTCAAAGCACCAAAAGGCATCCGCATCATCCTCGTATATGACAACAAAAGGTGACAGCAGATCACTCATACCTATCATTCATTTATGTATTTAGAATTTTAGATACATCAAGAATAATAAAATGATAGTACAAAATAAGGCTCCTCGAAATATGCAAACCTTGACAGTATCCAGTGGAAGGATCAACCCATGCATAAACAGCAAGTATATCAGACATTCTAGCCATATTCCTTGATTCTCCATAGAAATCAAGGTGGCTATCTGTTCTCACCACATCAACCACTGCATCAGAAGTTTTTTTTTTATCCCTAATTAGAATACAATCAGAAGAGACCACTGCAATTGTGTGAATTAAGAATATAAACATACCAATTCGATGCAGTGTCCAAAGCCATTCAGAGACTCTATCTTTGCCAGCTATCGAACCATTTGATTTGGTTCCATCAACTAAATCTGCTTCTGGTGCATCAGATATCCTCAAGGAATCTATAATTTCTTTACTATAGCCAGTATCGTCTAACCATCTATCCTGCTTGTATGCATCAGACTGAAAGATGGCTGAGTCACTGCTGCTAGGTCGAAATAGATCATTGGAGAATGTATTTGACTCTATTATGAGATCTATGTTATTATTGATCTGGAAGCTGTGCATGCGCTCATCACGGGGCCTTACCCTATCTTCAGGAACCAAGAAACTGCAATGATTTTCTTCAATTCCATTGCTATCCCCATCACCATTTGCGAACAAGTTTGTACCAGTTAGGGAAGGGAAATCGATGAAAGCCTCACTGTCATACCTTGGTTCACCAATGTCATCATAATCTCCAGAACATCTAGAGCTATCATTATGTTCATTGAAACCAACTGTTTCAGCTGATTTACTACAAGTTTTCCTTTTCTGAGGCTGAGTTGTGCCACCAGAACCATAAATCAAATTTGAATTTTCTGCTAAACTGCAAGGCGCTTGATGTGCAGCTTGCTGACTTGTGCTGACTTCTCCACCTTCAGTTTCTTTGGGCAAGGTCCTGACATCCATCAGCTTTGATCCAACAGCGTATGCAAGCTCACCTGTACCAATGCTTGTATGCATGCTTTGGCATTGCTTAATTAAATAACGATATTTCTCCCTAGATAGGAAGGGGAAAAAGGCATAAAGTTAGAGCCTTCAAGATTTCCAATAATGCACAAAGGTGTAGAACCACAAAGGAAAACACTAGTCTCCAAGGTTTAAAATTAATAATGCTAATAAAATGTGGAGCCCAGAGAAAGGGAAGTGTTCCGAAAACATTAGGAAAATAGCAAAGAATATGAATAAAATAGAGTTAAGGGAGTTACATCAAATGGGTCAGAGAAGTCATACAGTTTCAAGAAAACAAATAGGGTGGATTGACAAAACCATTTTATCCTCCAAAGAGTGTGCACAGGAGGTAGTATTAAGGAAAATGGAAGGAGAAATATGTGCAAAAAGGGACTATCTTGGAAACCAGTTCAAAGGGTCAAGACTTAATCCAGAGACCACGCAAGCATGGTGATACATCATTTTTACAACAGTTTCCTATGTTCTGCGCTAGCTGTAAATGTAAGGTGAACACTAATTTGGCACTAAAGCTTATGTTTCATATATAGGTGAACATAAAAGGCTAGGGAATTTTGGCTAAAGCAATTTATTTACCAATATAAAAGTAACCAAACTGGTGCCTACCACAGGATTCTTTTTAGAAAATAAAATGCAAACATTGTATTACGAAAAAAGAAAAGAAAAACTACAAACCTTCGAGCAGCTCTTAGTTTTCCCCTATATTCCGACGTGCTACTTAAGGCATAGCAGCCAATAAGAAATTCCCAAACTTCCGCTCGAATAGAAGGATCCACACCCTGCACATCATTAATGGAGATAGAACTTATTACATGGCCATTTTCATGCATTTTTTATAATTCATCCTTTCGCTGATAACAAAAATCCGCTGATGCAAGTGGCAACACCAATGGGTAGATTTGAGTCAATTTATTAGTTCAATTATATCCCATATTCACATTTCCTTGCCTTTAAATCCAGATTAGCTCAATTAAATTAGTTGAGTTGACCCAATGAGCCAGAGAAAACAAAAAAATGACCCTAGCTATAACAGAACTGATACTAGTATGTGTGAGTCTAAAGCTTGAAGGCAGAAAACAACAAAAAGAACATGAAAAGGTAAATTCCTGAAATAACAAGTATATAGTTAACTCACTCCTAAGACAATGAATTTAAGGGCTTTACGGAAACATATAGCCTTCCCATCACTGTCAAAACATGCGTGCCATCTTTCTGGTTTGAGCATTCTGTTTCCCTGTACGGTTGCAGATAGAAGAAAAGATTGTCAATAGTGCAGGAGAGAAGTTAATATGAAGTGACATGTGTTGCTACTTGCTAATAGTTTCATGTACTCTTGTAGCCAAATTGATGCAACCCTTCTTTCATTATGGTTCACTAGGTTATAATTTAATTGGATGGTGAATAGTGTTGTCACCCTCAGCTTTCTGATTCCAGATTAGTAGTTGTGCTCAGGATGTGCCCTCCTTGAAAAATCACAATTCATATTAAAATATGACATTTAATAAAGGGACGAAGGGAGTGCATCATTGTGGCCACACCGCTACATCAGTCTATTTGGGGTTACAGATGAATGAGATAACATTTATAGCATCCTAAATAGCAATGAGAATTTAGGAAAGATTTTACCCTGCCACGGATCTTATGCCACAATAAACTTTATAAGTGATCAGTGGCCCTACAAGCAGCACAAATGCTATAGTAAACAAGGCATGCTGTCTCAATAGTGTCATGGAAAAATACTAAATATAGGCAATACAAGCATTAACTCAACCACAAAAAGAAGACTGTAAACTCTACTACTCTAGGCACCAGCTATACCATGCACAGTGATTACTAAATAGTAACATTGAGCTATCGCTATGCAAGATGTGATTAGTGCCATTAAGGGAATGTGAACAATCCATTCCTTGCCGAGAATGATCATCACACAAGCCTGACTAGCGGCGTAGTGGCACCGGTTGGGGTGTCAGCCAATGTCACTGACAAGGGAGCAACAGATACATTCGCATTGGCACCAGCATGGAGTATCAATACCTATCAAGCAATCCATAGCAGTATTAAACAGCATAAGTGATTTACTATAAGGGCTAATAGCAACCTTAACTGGGGAGGGGTTCAGGCAGGGGTCGCCGATGTCACGAACGATGGAGCCGACGCCGCGCTGGAGGTTGGCCATGGCGCCGCCCGGGCGGCCGCCGGCGGCGCCGCACATCCACTTAATGTAGTCCCCGCCGGCGCCATCGTAGCCGGACTTCACTTGGGGCATGGGGTCCCACTTCAACTCTAAAAGCCTCCGGACAACCAAACCGCGCTGGCACCTCTGCTAAACTGATCTTGAGCGCAGCGCTGAAGACGAAGGCAAGCAAATCGAACCCAACCAGGATTGGGTTGCCGGGCGGCGCACGCACCAAAGCAAGCAAATCCGCAGCCAACTGAATGGTCAGAGAGGAAGATTTAGATTAGGCTGCGAGAAAGCCAGTCCCCAGAGCAATCCGTCCAAGCAACCTCGGGGGGCGGTTACCGGCACGGGAAGGAAGAGATCGTGGCAAGTGCGGGTGGATGGATCTCCACTCCACGCCAGTCCAGTCGCAGCAGAGGGAAGCGACGAAGAAGAGAGAGTACGGGGATGCCTCCCCACAAGCCACAAGAGAAGGCTGTTGTAGCAGAAAGCCCCGGTTAGTTGTGTAACCGCGTCGCCGGCGGCAAGGTCGCCGACTGATTATAGCGGCGTAGAATAGAATCGCGGGGGGCGAGAGGAGAGAGAGAAGACGGAGGGGAAAAAACCCTCTCGCGTCAAGTCGACTGAGTCCCCTCGGACTTGCAGAATTCCGGTTTTGTCCCTAGGTCCACGACATAACAACGGTGAAGAAGACTAGAAGGTCAGTGGGTTGGGTGTAGGGGGGTTTTATTATGTCATGATGAACAGATCCACACAGCACGTATGGGTACGGTTCGGCCAGTTTGGTCTGGCTGGTCCGAGCGCGTCGTTCACTCCATTCTCGCTGGGGACTTCTCGCTGTCGCTGGGAGGTTCATTTTGTTTTTCAAAAAGACGCGACCGTGTTAGAGCCTGTTTCACACACCTCCGCGTGCGCTGCACCTTCACACCGAAGCCGAAGGCCGGAGCACCGAGACGCGCCTCCACCTCCCTACGTTAAAATAGTTCCGGCTCCTCTACTCGACACCAGAAACATTTTTGCCTGTTCGGTAGCACAGCTTCAGCCGTATTTTTTAACGAACGAATAGTATTTTTCTCTTACAACATTTCAGCATAAGTCAAATTTTAGCGAAATAGACAGCTTTGGTGTCCGTGTTTGGTGCGGCTCTTCCAGCCACGCTGACAGAGCTGCCGGCGAAGCCGAAGCCAAAATGACAGACTGTGGGGGTATAACCCCCTATACCGGCAAGGCTGTACATGAGCTGAGTCGCTAAAAGAGGCCCAGCCCATAAGACTGCGCATGGGCCACGCCACTGGAGGAGGCCCAACCTACGAGACGACGCCGTGCGAGACACGACACAGGTCGGCGTGCCTCGTAAAACTACACGAAGATCTTGGATGATCTAGGAAACCTGCTCGGATATACCATATCCCGTAATATATGTAACTTCCTATCTTGTAAAATCGATCAAAATAACCGATCTATAACCCTACCTCCGAGCTATATAAGGCGGGTAGGGACCCCCTTGTTTTCACATTATCATACGTATTATAATCCACAAAGACACAGGACTAGGGTATTACGTCAAGCTGACGACTCGAACCTGTCTAATCGCTGCCTCTCACGTTCTGTGTCACTATCCGGCTCCCTCACGCGCACCTCCACTGATTCATCTACTACCGTAGGCATACCCCTCAGTAGACTGCCAAACGTATTTCGTCGACAGTGGCGCGCCAGGTAGGGGGTGTGCGTGCTGAATTCATGGCGAACCAGATGGTCACCTTCCCGAGCTCCATGGCCTTCCCCGAGCTGGGCTAGATCTTCACGATCGGATCCATGACATGGGTCATCGGCCCCGGCGGCAACAGAGAGATCGTGGAGGCGGTGCAGGATCACCCTGCGCCGATCGCGCCAACACATGCAACGACATCTCCGATCCCCGTGCCCCGCCGCTGGGTTAGGAGATCCATCAACAATGATGATCTGATCGTATCCATCAATCGGGTCATAGACTGCTTAGCAGAATGTTGGCTCCTCATAGATTCGGTCTTAGATCAATCTAGAGCGAGCGACGAATTTTTCGTACTCCAAGATCACCAAGACGCTGCAACCGAGCGACATGCTCGGCCACATCATTCAAGGCGGCCAGATTCTGATCTGGTGATAACGGTCACTCTAGAGAGGCGCATGGTGCGGCGTCAACCACTTCCCGCTACCGGCCTACGTTTGGCCGACTACGAGGCCCCGATGGAGGACCCGCCGAAGCCCTATCCCTTTGGGCTAGAGGGTGCGGAATCTACGTACCAGAACACCATCCACTACCACTTTGTCAACCACGTCGAGCGCGACCACATTACCGACCTCTACATGATCGACCCAACTGACTCTGGTCAGCCCTCGTCCGTGGTCAACATGGTGGCTATTCGCCAGCTCTCGGATGACCCCTCTTTTCCGACCGAATCTCTCCACAACGTTCTGAACGAGAGCTCCGACGATTATTCTAAGGCCTCAACAAAGACTGTATCAAGCTGCCCTACTTTCCCTCTAGGGTTCGAGGCCATGATTTTCCACGTCAGCCACGACAGCGTCACCAAGGACAGTGAAACCGCTGAAGAGCACGAAGCTCGTCTAGCGAAGAACGTTGATCGCCAACGTCGCCGATATGAGGAAGCAGCCCAAGGGGCCGACGAGGATGGTCGCGGCCCGCCCCGCCATCAACGTAATCTAGAGGAGGCGTTTGACATGGTGGGCGACCAGCCAATTGAAAGCTCTAGTTTGGTTTTGGTGAATTGATGAAACCCTAAGTGCTAACCTAGTTTATCAAGTGATCATAAGATAGGTAGCACATTCCAAGTGGTCAAGCAAATAAAGATCATGACATGATGATGGTGATGCCATGGTGATGATCAAGTGCTTGGACTTGAAAAGAAGAAAGAGAAAAACAAAAGGCTCAAGGCAAAGGTATAAATGGTAGGAGCCATTTTGTTTTGGTGATAGAGACACTTAGTGAGTGTGATCACATTTAGGATCGATAGCCGTACTATTAAGAGGGGCAAAACTCGTATCGAAATGCGGTTTATCAAAGTGCCACTAGATGCTCTAACTCATTGCATATGCATTTAGGATCTAGTGGAGTGCTAACACCCTTAAAAATGTTTATGAAAAATATGCTAACACACATGTGCACAAGATGATACACTTGGTGGTTGGCACATTTGAGCAAGGGTAAGAAACTTCACCGGCGGAGTGTCCTCCCGTAGAGTGTGGACAGTTCGACGGTGCCACCAGCGCCCTAGACAGAAAAGACGGAGGTCACTGGAAGTGACCGGACGCTGGCCTTGGTTGGACCGGCGCGTCCGGTCAGGTGGAGCATGAAGACGCTGGCGTCGGTCTCTGACCGACGCTGGGTCACTTAGTGACCAGACGCTGGAGGGGTGCGTCCGGTCCTGCTGATGTGGCAGCGCACAGAAGAGTCACCGTGTGACCGGACGCGTCTGGTCGTTAAAAGTCTTTTTTGGATGCTTACTGGAAATGACTGGACGCTGGGGCTCAGCGTCCGGTCACTTTGAGTTGCTGCGTCCGGTCGTCACTTGACTATTGAGATCAGGCGATCGACTTTTGAAGAGAGGGGACACGTGGCACGCATCGCGTGACCAGACGCTGAGGTCCAGCGTCCGGTCAATATGTCCGGAGCGTCTGGTCACCCCGTGTTGTGTCTAGTGAAGGGGTACAACGGCTCTATTTCGTGGGGGCTTCTATTTAAGCCCCATGATCGGCTCAAGCTCACCTCTCTTGGCCATTTGCATTGACATAGCAACCTTGTGAGCTTAGCCAAAGCCCTCTCACTCATCTTCATCATTGATTCATCATTTTTGTGAGATTGGGAGAGAATCCAAGTGCATTGCTTGAGTGTTTGCATCTAGAGGCACTTGGTGTTCGTGTTTTGCTACGGGATTCACTTGTTACTCTTGGTGGTTACCGCCACCTAGATGGCTTGGAGCAGTGAGGATCGTCGAGCGGAGGGTGGTGATTGTCTCTGGCTCCGATCGTGGTGATTGTGAGGGGTTCTTGACCTTTCCCCGGTGGAGAGCCAAAAGGTACTTTAGTAAATTGCTCGTGGCTTGTGTATCTTGTGTTGGTTGTGCGGCACCCTATTGAGGGTTTGGCGTGTGATGCCAATTAGCGCGTGAACCTCCAAGTGAGTGAATCGCCACAACGAGGAGTAGCTTGCCGGTAAGCAAGTGAACCTTGGTAAAAATCATTGTGTTCATCATTTGATTCCGAGGTGATTGATCTTCATTGTTATTCATTCTTGTGATTGATTGACTCCTTCCTCGACATGGCGGTATAACCATCTTGCTCACTTTTTTTATATTATCGTAAACTAGTTGTCAAGGTCTTTAGTGTAGCTAGTTGTGAGAGCTTGTTAATTTTGTTAGTGTGGCTCTTTAGTTAGCTTTTGAGAGCATACTAACTTAGTATAGTGTCATAGCTATTCTGTAGATAGAAACTATATAAACTAGAATTGTGGTAGGTGGCTTGCTATTTTAGTAGGCTACCACAACACTTGCTTCGCCTCATAATTGTCTAACCGGTTTGTTAAGTGTTGTTGTAGAAATTTTTAATAGGCTATTCAACCCCCTCTAGCCATTAGGACCTTTCAAGTGGTATCGGAGTAGAGGTCACCGTGATTTGAGGCTTAACAACATTCGGTGTAAAATGGCTCAAATCAACAATACCAAGAAGTCACCCCAATTTGATGGCATAAATTATCTATATTGGAAATCAAAGATGACCACACATATCAAGTCAATCAATAGAAGAGTGTGGAAGGTGGTAGAAACCAAAATTGAGATTGAAGATCCAGAGAATCCCACCGCGGCCGAAGAAATGCTTCTCCAAAACAATGACATTGCTCTAAGTGCCATTCATGATGTAATTGATGAAAGAACATTTGAGCAAATCAAGAATATTGAGATGGCTCATAAGGCTTGGAAGAAGTTAGAAGAATCAATTGTGGGCACTCAATTCATGAAGGGTGCAAAGGCATATATTCTCAAAGAGAAGTTTGCAAGCTTTAAGATGAAGGAGGATGAGAGTGTGCCAGA